ACTTTTTGTCTGGTAAGAGGGCCCTGTCTCCCTCCAGTCTTGCGACCCCTCGTAGGTCGCTGGCTAGCTATCCTCTCTAGAGCACTAACCAGCCCCATTGTAGTGTCTGTGCACTACAGCTTAGCTCTGCATAGACTGAAGTGTAGCGCTCTTAGCTTGCGAGGTAGCATATGAAAGCATTACGGCAGTCCGTAGCTCTGCCCAAAGGTATGCGAACCTGAAGAAATTGCAGCAACGCTTCCTTCTGCATCCTACTTGCGACCGCTCGTTAGAGACCATCTGTCACTGAATGCATCGTCGTGCAATGCTCCACGGCTATCCTGTCGTTCCTTATGCAGTTGTTCCAATGGTCTATCCACGTGTAATAGCACCAGCTGCTAGGCTTTGTTGCATTTCCCAGACTGTGGGTGAACCTATGGCCAGTTGTGTTTACTGGCAGCTGCTTAGTTGAACACGTCCGAAGCTCTGTTGTTGCCGCGTTGCTGGTGAGTTGTTGGCAGGTTAAGGGGTATGATCGAGGAAGCATTTTGCTCCTAAATTATAGCACCAACAGTCTCGCAGTGTGTGCCTGAAGCTCGGGAGTGCGTGACACTTTTTGTCGCTCTCAGGAAGGCGTGCGCGAGGGTCGCATGTGGTGTGGGTGGTCAGCAGGTGTCGTGTCAGCGCGAACGCAAGAGCAGGATGCTAGTTCTTTATCGGAGGGAATTTGCAAGGGGAGAAAATGACTAGTTGACTCAGCTGCAGTAAGAGCGACTGGACAGGAAGCTGGGCGCCTAGAGCCTCGCCAGGAGATATATATACAGATGCGTTGTAGCACCAAGGATTCAGTGGGAGCAGGGCGTCTACCCGCGCAATCGTGGCTCACATTCTTTCGCGCGTTATTACGCCTGCATAATACGACTTCGTGCCCCGTAGTGGACGAGATATCCAGTCTACGTTTGTAGTCTTGGGTCAGATGTAGCGCGATGATTACTTTCCGAGCTGCACTGCAGTACGTTACGAGGCCGATTTGGGTGTATGGGGAGAAAAGAGAGGCGTTTGCGCCTTCACTTCCTACCATCTGAAAGCATATGAATGAGTCATGGGGCATTCTGAGAAGCGTCACTGGTGACGGCCAAGACGTGTTTTTAATGTAAAGTGAGTGTGGCGCGACTCGGACGCTGTGGCTATTATATAACGAGGAGCGAGCAGCCAGTCTTGATGCATAAGCCATTTGTTTGGCAGTTAGTTTGCTAGTGACTTCATTGTTGCGCGCTTCATTGTTGCGCACTGCTTAATGGCATTGCAGTTGCCGTTTGTGCAGGCGTCCCCATGGTCTGCCCACCTGTAATAGCATCACGTGCTAGGCTTTGTTGCTCGTCCCAGATAGTGGGTGAACCTACTGCCAGCTGTGTTTACTAGCAGTTGCTTAGTTGAACACGGACCAGTTTGCGGCTGTAGCGGAGCGTGGAGTTGGGATCGTCCCCGACGAACTCGCTGAGTTCTACTGCGCTGGGCTATCAACTGACATCCATCTTCTCATTACAAATAATGGGATGGTGAGGTATTCCTCCTGGGAACAAGCGGCGACAGCAGCAGCGCGACTCTATGAACCTAAGCAGACTGTGCTAGGGCTACGAGAAAGGGCTAGTCGAGCGATAAGGGCTGCTACAGAGGCAAATGCAACCCATCGGAAACAGGAAAATGAAACTAGGCCTGGAAGAAACTCCGGGAACTGCTACGATTGTCAGGGTCGTGGGCACCCTGCACGAGTTTGCCCCAGCAAAGGGGAACGAACCAAGCGGCCAGGCGAGACCTGCAAGAAGTGTGGAGGTGTTGGACACTATGCTCGTGACTGTCCTACACAACGACCAAGGCCGTGCCGAGCCGAAAAAGAAGAGCAGCGGGCAACCTATCCGTCCCAGCACTGAGAAGACCAAACGTTTAAACCGCGAGGCCTAGGCGTTGTTGGAGACGAGCGTTCTAGGCCGCGTAGCCATGGCAAAGGGATGATGTGAAATGGAAACATCACGAGGACTCTGGGAGCTCTTATGGAGGTCTCTCCCACCGATATGAGGATATATTGAGAGCAATAGAGGCCGGGTTTGCTTGGGTTACACACCGCATGCTTTTACAGTGCAAAACATTGTAGGGACTAAGGTATGTTACTCATGAAGGGAGAGGTGTTAAAGGTATCACTTTGAGAGAAAGCAGCAGAGGCCCTGGCGAGCATCGGCAGAATGTCAATTAAAAGGTGATGAGAAAAGGATATCATCGCAGTCGAGGCCGCTTAGAAAGCTATCAGAAACTACCAAGGAAGTGGAACAACATAAGGGCCGTGAAGATAGAGGCTAGCGAAGGAGGCATTAGCCTGTTGTAAGTACAGAGTCCGGCGTTATATGGCATCAGAAAAGCACGGCGTTTAGCAGCGAGAGCGAACTTGGAAACTAGAGAAATGTGACGGGGTTACAGTAGAATGGCAGATTATGCTAGAGAGTGCACTACTTCGGGCTGAATCTGGATGGCGCCTCACGGTAACAAGGGACCTCCAGCGCCTGTCCGTGGGAAGAGTGCAACTCAACATTGAACGCTGGAGACTAGGCATTGCCTAGGAGAAAGTACTGATTGTAGTAGAAGTGGTAAGCCGCGGCGCTGAGCTGCTGTGACAGGGCCCAAAGCCAGAAATGTCTTGCCTTACTGCAAGAAGCAGTAAGGGAAGGCATTGCTGCTACTCTTCAGACACGAAGAAAGGGATAACGTCCACTAGCCAGAAATGCATAACGGCCTCTTCCGTTTCCAGCAGAAAATTCAATTAGACGTCAGAAACACTATTACAGAGTGTAGTAAGCCGTGAACTCGATAGTAAGGAAAAGTAAGAGGTGGAGCAAACCTAGGAATTAGCCCGCATGAAGGCGACTGTGGCGAAAGCTATTATTTGAAAAGGTAACTGGAAAATTCCATTTTAGGACCATATTGGCTCAATCAATTCAAGATTAGGAGGCAGGTTTAATCTGACGAGCTGAAAGCCTATGTAAATGACGGCGTTGTGGCGTACCCGCAGAGAGCAATAGCGAAGAAAAGAAAACACGCACTTGGCCGAGCGTTGGACGTTCCCGGAGCTCTTTGAACAAGGGATTTTTTTAGAAATATAAACAGAAAACGCTTTGAACTAGTTAATTCGAGGCCACGCTCGTCTCCAACTACGCAGAAGGTGAGAAGAATTCACCGTGGCCCGATGTTGAGCTTAAGTACAGTCTGTTTTGTTGTGTCGCCTCAGATTCGAGGAGAACCGAACTGCCAACTTAGATGCTCGTCGTATCATGCAAACACTACTTTGTCTTTTCCACGTGTGACAGATACACCGAACTGCATTTTCCGATACATCTCAGCGGGTTCCAGACGAAACACTCTCAGTCATAAGAAACGTGTCCCATTAAGAAGTCCCTGGAAAAGCGTGCATGTCCGCACCACATGGTCAACCCCGTCACAACCCGATCAATGCGTAATCCTTCACCTGTAGCTACGGTGAACCTATGCTTTTCTGGATGTATTCGCATCTTGAGCTGCAGCCGTTCGATTGTTTTAGGACTAAGAAAGTTCTCGAAGCCCCAGTGTCCAAGACCGCCTTACATGAACTCCTTCCAAGCTCAACACGAAGTACCGCTGTCGCACTCACATAACACAAAGCCTCTTTGTTGTAAGACTCCTTCGCAGAAGTTGACGGCCACCAATGCAGCACGATCTCTGTTGCTTCTGGCCTGCAGTATTCCTCTGTTGCCTTTGAAGACTTCCCGCTGCTATCCGTCTTCTCGTACGAAGCCTGTTCACTCCGGATCGGCGACCCCCAAACTCCCACTCGTTTCAGCTTAGTTGCCATTTGAGCTTCGTGGCTTGCTTGGACACAAACTACGGGCATACTTCCTGTGCGTGGCGTCATGCGCGTTACTAAAGCAGCTAGCCGGCGGCTTTTAGTCTAGCTGAATAAGTAACACTGTGCTGGCAGTCATGTGGCTGGTTCTCGCAGTGCAATGCCTTAGCACTTTGGGCCCTCAATGGCGTTGCGTCATTTCTGTGCACACTGGAAAAGTTAAGAATGCATGCTATATTGCAGCGTCGAAGCTTGTGAGTTTTCTGGGAAGCTGTAAATTTTTTTTTTGAAATTAAGGAAGGATCACACAGCCATGAGAAAACACATTTTCTAGCTTAACGGATGGATTCCGTGACGTCGCTATGCTGCAGGAAATTCAGTGGCTCAGAATGGTGTTCAGAGATGTTGATTATCTGAGATGGCTGTGGATGCATTTTTGGCTTTGCTCAAGCAGGTTTGTCCCTCTCATGGCAAACGAAAATTAATGTCCAAGGTCTAAGGACACTGTGTTACCTTCGGCAGTAACAATGATACTGCCCTGGGTAGAGCAGCAGCAATGTGAACGCAAAGAATTATAGCGCATGTTGTCTGTGAAGCAAGCTCTCTGCTGGTGGTCATTAGTGTTAGTGAGTGTCGTTCAAGTGCATTTCGCTAGTGCGCTGCTTTCCTCTTGTCAATTTTGAATGGAAAAGGCCTGGTACTTCTTCGATATGTGGAGGCTGGTAACTTTGGCAGGGCAGTTTTTCTGTTGCGTGAGTAATGTCAATAGCTAGCTCTGGACAGAATGATTCGAAAAAGGTTTTATGGTGCGCGGCGCCCGCCAGCATATCGCTTATCTGCAGCTCTCTGCATGGAAGCATGCCTCAAGATGTAGCTCGCACACGGATAGCTACCGTGGTTGCAGCTCTGCAATGTATTGAAGGTTCAAAATCAGTTTGGTTAGTTACAAGAGATCAAAATCAAATCGACGTTTTCTGAGTTGACAGTGTGTGTTACGTTGCCGTTGCCTCCAATGCTCGAAAATAAGTGCCGCAGCGGTGATTTATTCTCCCTTTTATATGGCTTTTGAAATGATTTATTTCGGGCGTTTATGCATCACTAAGTGCCTTCTCCATTGAAGCTCCCCATGCCGAAAGTACAAAAACGATATGCGTCCTTAAGTCTACGTAATTGTGTCATCGCGCTGTTGCGCCCATGATTTATTCTCGAAACTCTACTGAAACACTAACGCTGGACGCTCGCGGGGAGTCACAGCTCCAAACGCTGCTAATGAGCTGTCACCAGCGTAGGGGAAAGTGCCGAAAGCTTTATAGAATGAAACGTTGTGCTGTTTCATCAGAATGGGAGGCATAGTCCTTACGTTCTTCCTTATCGCAGCAAAGTGAGGAGATTTTATAGTCTATTTTTGTGTTGTGGAGTAAAGAAACAGAAGCGTTTTGTGGAATGTCATGCGTGCAGATAGCGGTAACTTCGGGTTTAGTCGAATTGGTGAATCGTCGCTTACTGGATGAAACCACCTGGCAGCACTTCCAGCGGTACTTTCCCGGTTCATCTCACAGCACATATGCTGAGTCTACAGGAACGTTGTTGCATTAGAGAACCAAAATTTCTACGACCTAGCATATATATATATTAATAACTTAGGAAACAAAATATTTATAACACTTGGCTCTTCAACAGTATGACGGCTACTTCTGGGACTTTGTCTGCCGTGATGTGTAATACGTGAGCTGGGTTAAGATCGTTTTTCATTTGGTTTGTTGTGTTGTCCTTGTCAATGCTTTATCTGCAACTCATGGATGGAAATACTATAACTTTGCTTGCCTCATTCAGCCATACTAAATTAAGCTGTGGTGCATTAGCATGTTGACACCGGTTGCAGCTGCCTGTCAATTTTTTGCTGAAGTGCTAGACTAGTCTGATGTAAAACTGAGGCATGTGCAAGTTCGTTAATTGTAGTCGGAGAAAAAATTCCGTGTGCAGGAATCATTGACGTGACTGACTTTTTGGCTGCAAATCTCACGGCATGACGTTGCTTTCTCTGCACGTTTTATCGTCGCGTGACAGCAATATTGCGCTTATCGCAAGCCATATGCCTAGTGAATCCAACATTAATATTTGACTCATTAGTAACACCCGTTGTACAGCACCCTTCTTTTCACTGCACTTGAAACTGGGACAAGCGCGTTGCAGGTGTCTTCGGCCCGGACACTCGTTGCAGTTGTCGGGGTTTCCCCCAAAACTGTTTTCGTTCTCCTGGCTCCGACGGGGTCCATTTGCTTGGAGAGCTTCTCTGATGGCTCGACTGGTCCTTCCTCGTAGCTCTTACACTGTCTGCTTAGGCTTGTCGAGTTGCGCTCCTGCTGTCACCGCTTGTTCCCAAGAGGGATACTTCACCTGCACGTTATTTGCCATGAGAAAATGGAGGTCCGTTGGTAGCCCGGCGCAGCAGTACTCAGCGAGTTCGTGGGTGGCGATTCCACACCACGCTCCGCTACAGCCGCAAACTGGTCCGTGTATTTCTTAGGGTTACCATTCCACCGTACTTTAGACAACTCCGTCAGCAATTGACTTTGAGACATTTTTTTTTCGAGCCATTTATTCCTACCATGAATGCGCTATTTGAGAGAGTCCTGAATGTCTCTACATCATGATTATTCTGCAATGGAGGAGCAACAGACCATGACAGCTGCACACAGCTTGTCACGTTAAACATGAAACGAAGCGCACGATCAGTAACGTTCGGCTTACTAAAATAAAGACCATGTAGCATGTGTTCGGGGACTCTCAGAAACCAGCAAACTTTCTTCATGATGGCGTACTCCATATCTGTTCGAAACGTCCTGGCCAGCAATATCTTCTAGATACTGCAAATATGCATACTGGGAGCAATACAAGGCCGCGTAGCACGTGGCGTTTACTTCACTAGGTAGAGGCAATGACAACCAATAACACAACGCTGATGGAGCGCCCAATACATGCACTCTCACTGCAAAATATGAAACGACTTACCGTAGTTAATCATCGTACTCGCTCATGTCGTGAGCACGAAAAACTGCACGCAGCGAGCAAATTAGCATTACTCTCTTTGTAGTACACTGCGTTCTCTACAGCGTCTACGATGCTGCACAACCCTCGACTCTGGCGTTCAATGAAATCTTCTCTACTACCGACACATCGGTCGCGTATCCTCTACCAATTTATTAAAAAGACCGTTTCATATCAAGTTCTCAAAATCATATTTCATAAAGTCGCTTTGTTGTCGTTCTTGCTTTGCTGGTCCGGTGAGGATGTGACGCGCACCGATGCCGGCGTTGTCGGCAGCCCCAATCTCAGGGCATTCGCAGGCATTCCTAGCTTATGAATGTTAATTTGTTAATAAATTGTATTTATATTTCACAAGTAAGAGAATACAGCGCTCAATCCGCCTCCCAACCTCTTAATTGCCTATACGTCGTCATTTAGCTATGCTCCATAGGTCACCAGCAAGCCCCACTGTAGTGCCTGCGCACTACAACTACCTCCCTTGCCGGACTGAACGGGCCTATCCACAACGCATTATTTCTGCCTTTCGAATCTTTATCCTTTTGTGAAGCTAATGCCATGAGCGCATGTGGTACGCAGCGCTTCCTCCCTCCCCTCGTCATTGAAGATCGTCGTGTAGCGGCAGTTGACGGACCCAAACCGCTGCGCCTCGGAAGGAGCAAGATTGTGTCGAGCCTGAAGACGTCTTTTTTGACGGCGGTGCCAAGCGCGGAGCAAAGCCGGACATCCTGTGAGATGATTAGCGGGCTCCCACGTGGTTTGATCTTCGGGGGTGCCGCGCCACTTCACGAGGTACTGAGCTTCATCTCCCGAGCCGCGTTGGCCCATAATATAATCGACCTTATACTCCTCTGTCGGACTGCCTGCCGCATCGCGGATAGGGTCTCAGGCGGTGTCGGCTTCCTGGGGAACTAAGTCTGGAGGGCAGGGGCGGTGGGGAACTAGCTGCGAAACATGAAAAGCGTAGTGGCATGCATACGTAGGAGGTAAAACGAGACGGTAAGCGACGGTGCCTATTCGCTCAATAATTTCAAATGGTCCTCGGTAACGGGGCTCAAACTTAGGGCAGCTAGATGACGACGGTAGATGCTTGCTGCTGAGCCAAACCTTGTCGCCCACTGCATACTCCACAGCTCGGCGCTTTTTTTCTGCGTAATATTTCTGCTGCCATTTCGCCTTCTGTATGTGGCTCCGCGCTCTGTCTCAGAGCTGCCGGAAGAGCTTAGTCATCGGAGGAGTGAGCGTAGGGGCTAAGGCGCCTACGATATCAAGATTCGCAGCAGTCAGCGCGTTCTCGCCGACCATGACCTCGAAGGGAAAGAGCTCGGTAGATGAATGGCTTGTCATGTTGTAGGCAAACTCCAGGGCCGGAAGCAAACGCTCCCACTCGCGTTCGTCAGATTGGATGTAGGTACGAAGCATCTGCTCCAGTGTGCGGTTAACCCTTTCAGTTTGACCGTCGCTTTGAGGATGGTAGGACGAGGACATGGCGCGTTTGACGTTAAAGCGGCGACATAGTTGTTGCCAGAGGTTCGACTGGAAGCGGGGGTCGCGGTCCGATATGAGTACCTGTGGAAATCCGTGGTAGAGGATAAGACGGTCTGCGAGAAGCTCCACGGTGTCTGGTGTCTGCTGCTGTGAATGACTTCTTTGCAGAAACGAAATGAGCCATCTTGCTCAGATAGTCGACCATGACGAGAATTGTGTCGTGCTTTGTCGTCGTAACGGGAAGATCCGTGATAAAGTCGAGGCTCACGTGCGCCCACCGACACGAAGGGATGAGTAGCTGTTGAAGAAGGCCTGCAGGTTTCTGGCTCAGAGACTTAGACGCACGACAGTGAATACAGGATTCAACATACGCAGTAGTGTAAGCACGCATCCCTGGCCAGTAGTAGTGCTTGCTCAAAGCCGAGAAGGTCTTCTTTTGTCCTCGATGACCGGCTGCCACATGGTCATGATGTGAGTGCAAGACATGCGTGAGGAACTCAGGGAATTGTGGAAGACAGATTCGCGATAGTCTATGAATACAAATATGCAAGTAAGGCGGCACATAGCGAAAGGTAACGTGACGATTGCGAAACTCTATCTGTAAAGCGTCTCCTGGATGTTTTGCAGCGACTTCGTAGGGAGCGCGGAAAGCAGGACACTTCGAGTCGGCTTGCGGCCATTCAGGCACCTCAGGAGGGTCAGCTCGTGTCTTCGTTGAAGATGTAGAATGTTCCTTCTCTGGATTGGGCTCAGGCGGCAGAGTTGAAGGTGGTGATGGCAAGGTGCGTTGTCTGGGTCGTCGCGAACGAATGTCGGCGAGCTCCCTGTAACTAGCAGGCCGACAACGAGAGCGAGGAGCCGCGCACGTTTGTTCTACTTCAAGCATGAATAGTGTCGTTAGTACGTCGTGCTAGCAGGTGATAGAGGGACCGGAACGGCGAGACAAGGCATCAGCCACCTGTTTTTGCTCTCCTTCGACATAAGTGGTGTGCAAATCCGGGAACTCAGCCAGGAAGTCTAACCACCGAGCGGTGCGTCCGCGCAGAGGCTTCGATGCTTGGAGTCGTTGGAGATGCGTAAGAGCTTGGTGTTCTGTATGAGCTGCATCTCACGGAGCAAATTAGACCACTTGTCCAGGGCCGTGACCAACGCCAAGAGTTCTTGATCATAGATCTGTTGTGTGCGGTTCACAAGTTGGGTGAGGAAACCGATGGGCTTGCCTTCTTGTTCTAAAACCGCTCCGATCGCTTAACCAGAGGCATCCGTGTATAACTCGAAAGGCTTCGTGGTGTCAGGAACTTGTAATGTAGTGAGATCGATTAAACGCTGTTTGAGCTGCTGCACGGCCTTTGTGTGAAGTTCTGTCCATTTGAAACTAACATCTTTACGTGTAAGACCAACCAGAGGCCACGCAACGTCTGCCTAACCAGGTCCCATGAACATGCGACAGTGATTTATGGTGCCGAGGAACTGCCGCACATGTGTTTCATTTTTCAGCACCACTGGCCAGTGCCAGATAGCCTCGATTTTGTCTCTTGCAAGTTTGATGCCTTCGGCAGTTATGGCAAAATCCAAATATGTCATTGCTTGCCTAGCGAACTTGCATTTGCGGAATTTCGGGTAGAATTGGTTCTGGAGGGAAACACTAAGAACTTGTCGCAGGAGGTACACGTCTCCAGAGAGGTCGGAACATTAAATAAGTGCATCACGTAGGTACGCAATAACACCCTACCCTAATGCTGTAGATAGGCATTAATGTTGGCCTGGAACGTAGCTGGAGCACCCTTAAGGACAAAGGGCATTACTCGGTACTCGAAGAGCCCGAGAACGAAACGGAAAGCCGTCTTCCAACGTTCTTCCTTAGCCATACGTATATCGTTCTTCAAGGTCCAAAGTGGAAAAGTACTTGGCGCCTCCCAGCATCTCCAGAATGGCTTGAATGGGAGGCAATGGAAAATCAGGAGCTACTGTAAGAGCATTAAGAGCCTGGTAATTAACAACCATACGCATCTCCCGCTCCCCGGAGCCATCATCACGTTTGTCCAGCTGATCGTAGGAGAGCAAATAGGCAAGTAGGTCGATCCGATCCAACCACTGTCCGATAATTTAGCTATATCCTCTTTGTGGAATGTGAGCTGATCTGCGGTCATTCGGTAAATCGCAGATTCCGCTGGAAATTTTCCAGGCACACGTAGGATATGGTGATCACGAGGGCGCTTCGACGGTAATCCTTTAGGTAAGTTGTTGGGGAAGACCGCTCGATACTCCTGCAACTCCTGGATAATCTAATATGGAGCAGCCTGCGCCTCTGGCGAAGTTATCCATTCGTCAAACAGAGTGTGCTCGAGTTTTGCCATAGACCAGGGAGACTCCTCGTCAATCTCCGCTGCCACCGAGGCGGTGGAGGCCAAAGGGCTACGCCAGCCGGAGGACGTGGGTTGATTCCCAATTAACGCGCAACAAAGCGCGCCTTGCCATTCATCCGAGAGCCTTAGGGGAACTGCCGAATCGGCTTCGGGTAAAGCCAGTATGAGATGCAAACCGTGCAATGGAGCCCTGACACCATTTGTTTCAGCCGCTGCCTGACGAACGAGCGACGTTATCCGCGCCTTCGCCTTAGTCTTCGCGTGGGACTTATATGTCCTTGGAGGCGGGCGTAGGAATATAACTGCCTCCTCGGCTGACATACCCGCCACTTGTTTGGCCAATA